TGCCAGGTCACCTGCACTCTGACTAACTGGAAGATCAGGCATCTCCTCACCACTTACATCCTCACTGGGCTGGAAGGCTCAGCGTGAACATTTGTCTCTCTATCTCAGGAGAGCTCCTTCCTGCTTAGATAGAAAAGCTTCCTTTGCTTTCTTTCTTTTTCTGAATGCTGCCCCATAGGGCATTTTCTTTTCACTCATAACTGCTGTTCTGTGCCAGCTATAGTGGCTCTCAACACTCAATTGAAGGGGACAAATAAGCAGGCTGGTAGCATCTTACGGGCTTAACTAGCTCCTACTACTTCAGTTGACTGCCTGTTCTCCTCAAGTGGGTCCAGGGAAGCATCAGGAAACAGGAAGCTCCCTGAGAAGCTGGTGTGAATCAGTCCAGGCTCCTGGGGGTGCTCGAGAGGTACATAAGAGGCTCCTCCTCCTTTCTCTCCCTGCAGCTTCTGCTGCTTTCTGTTCTTCCCTCTCACCTTTTCTCCTGCCTGCCTGTTATGTCTCTTGTGCCCTCCTTCCTCCAGCACAGCACTCCACCATCTCGGTGCATCTAGAGCAGAGAGAACACATATGCACCAGCAGCAGACACAATTTTCTACACTCTGGGTCCTAGTGGCACCCCCCACACACAGTCTGGCACCTGAGGCGGCCACCTCAGTTCACCTCATGGTAAGGCCAGACCTGCCTGCCCTGTTCCCACCTGCTTTTACCCTCCTCACCCATAATTCATTCAGGTTACCTTACCTTCAACTGAGTTTCCTCGTCAGGTTCTGCTTTCAAACATACATTTTATCCTGTAGCCTGAAAAATCCCTCTCTTGACCCTACCTGTCTTCCCAACTACCAGCTGTTTCCCTCCTCCCGTTCACAATGCTGTGCCTGTAGGCCCAGCTATGAGCTGGGGGGTGCTGCATAAACTGCACCCCACCCAGAAAGGCTTGTGCCTCAGAGACCCCCTCAGAGGGTGTGCTCCACAACAATGCTTAGTCACTACTGGCCTCTACCAGCAACACATTACAACATGTCCTGTGCCACCTTAGTTGTCCTGGCCAGGGCATGATCACCCATTCCTTGCACTCCCATCCAGCTTGGGCTCCATCTGCTCTGAGCAGGAGTAAGCAGCTGCACAGCGCTAGAGCACAGAAGTTCTTGGCTCCCAGGAAACTCTGCTGCCTCCTTGCCAAGCCTAACAGCATCCTCTCCACCAAATCTCCTTCATCTGTCTGCTTGCCTGTGACCCAGATGGTCACTCCCACCTCATCCTCCACAAATGAAACTTGGCTGCCTGGTGCTTCTGAAACCAAAATATACCAAGTCCTACCCCAAACTGCCCCCCTAAGGCCTTGTCTACATTGTGTAATAGAATTATTGGTGGCTATAGTTGTCATGAGTGGCAACTCAACCAGTGGTGAATATGATGTTCTAGTCTATACTTCCATTTAAACCATGGTGAGCTCACAACCATTACTGACAGTTCCGATCAGCAGTGCTTCAGTTTGACAGTATGTACCAGGGCTAAGGAGATTTAGACTGGGCTTATTAGAAGAGAATATGGAGCAGTGGGCCAAGGCTGATGGAAGTGATACAAGATACACTACTGTGCATTATAAGCAGTTATATACAGTATTACATGTTGCTCCTTTTTTGTGACTGAGGGAATAAAGTGCACCTAGAGTTCTGCTATCAAGTGGAGCTCATTTGAGTGCTATATGCTGTGCAAGTATGTATTAGCTAAGGTCAGTGGTTGCACAAATGACTGATACTAGGGGTGGCCAGAAGAGCTGAGCCTGACCTCTGAACTTCTAATTTCCTTTGTTCTTTTCTTACTTGCTTTTAGTTGGAGTTCTTTGTGTTACCTCATTTCCTTCTGCACTGGACTTGTGGTCTTGTATGATGTGAGTATGTAATCAGAACCCACCCTACCTTGCTAGCAATGATGCACAAAAGGCAAACATGTTCAATACATATTTCTGTTCTGTACTTGGAGAGAAGCAAGATGTGCTTGTGTCACATAAGGATGATGAAGTACTTTCCAGTCCATCTACTAGGGGAAGACATTTTTAAATCACCCAAAAACTACACAGGAAGTTCAAAGGGCATAAGCTAACACAGAAATTTCACCCTGTGAGGCCATCCACATATTAAAAGAAGCAGGAGCTTAATGTAGTCTAATGGAAAATCTTATTGTAAGACTGTTTCAGAATGCATCCTTTCTGATGGGGTCAAAACAAGCAACTCCATTTTGTATTATATAAGCTATAATGGGAACAGGCCTAATTAGGCAGCTGGTTGGGAGAGGAATGTTTCTTGCATTCTCACAGTTAGATTACACTGTTTCTTTACAGAAGCCCTGGTTTTGGGACCCAAGAGAATGCTGGGTGGGGTATCCACAGCAGGTAAGTCATCCAGGTGTGTTGGTCCATGTAACAGCAACTCAGAAGGTTCACATAATCTCTTGGCCTTTGTCAGGACCTGTCCCAAGCAGCTGGATGCACCCCTTATCCTGTACTATTTAAGGTAGACCTCAGAGGGCTCTTTACAGATGAGTTACAGCATGTGCCATGGACAGACTGGTAAGCACGGCAGGTCTAGGTTTGAGTCCAAAGAATGCAATCACCTGTTAACAGGCAGGCTAACCCTTCAGTTCAGCAGAGGTGTGACTCTGTGTAGACACCCACTTCCACAGACGGTTCATTCAAATCAGTGTAATAAAAAGATCCTACGTGGTAAAAGCAGAATCACCTCCAAGGGCAAGTACATTTCCCCCGTGGAGCTGAACATAGCTGGGCCTTCTGCAAGTCTGCATCCCATTGGTGTAATGGCTGTTTAGACATTCACAAGAGGGGAGAGATGTAAAAGGGCTGTGGCCATGTCAGGACTTAGCCAGCTCTGCACTCCTGCAAGCAAATGGGGGACAAACTAATCTGAGGTGATAAGAAGGATCCTGTTAATGGTGAATAAAACACCAACAAGTCACTTTTGTCAGGGTTCACAAAGATTTCTTAGAGCATGGGAAGGCAAACAGTGCCCTCTCCCAGCTGCTGGAGGATGTGCTGGGGATACAGGCTTCTCCAGTCTGATTTAGGGACATCTCCGCACACTCTGCCTAACATCTTCCCCGAGCCCGACACAGGCTTCCCCAAACCAATCTGCTTCGGTCCTCTTGATGAGGAAGCACCCACAGCTTAACTTGCATCACTCCCTTGATACAGGTGCCTTCTCTGGCTTATTCAGTGAGATGAATTTAACCTGTTAATCTCTCAGTACTGGGCAAAACCTATATACCCCATCTATAAGGGTTAAAACATGTATGCTGTGGTTTCCAATGTCGTTAATGAAACCATGGTTACTGAGAGACAACTAGTTTTTGCCCTTGGGTATTCAAGTGCAATGGAACCTGGGAATGCTATGATCTGTCCCAACAGGGCCTCATTGGATGGAAATGTCAGTTCTGCATCCCCTTCCTTTCTCAGTCAGCTCTAGGCAGCATGTCCCCATGGCTGGAGAACTACTGTGAGACTAGGAGTCAGGAGACCTGGGCTTTTTCTGTGACTTCAGCTACTACAGACATGCTGTGTGACACGGTGCAAGTGCCTATTCCCTGCTCCTCAATTTTCCTGTCTTTAAAGTGATATTCTTCAGATAAACATCTTTGTAAAAATGCTTTGAGATCTGCAGAGGCAACCTGGTAGGCAGATGCTAAATATTATTATTGAATATCAACAGTTTAAATCTAAAGCAAAATTATTTATCTATTTAGACTTATAGAAGTGCTGAAAAGGGTTCCTGGGGCAAAAATCGCATGTGATCGTGTAATTAAAGACTATCTTAATCCATACATACAAAGGAGCTGAAGAAAGTTTGCAAAGGCAGTCTTAATCCTGGCACTTCCTGACTTTTGAGTGCTTGACTTTGCAACCCTTTAAATAGAGGGTTGGTTTGTTTTTTTTTAGTGTAATATACAGAACTGGGCAGTGTTTTAAAAGAATAGAAACAAGTTTAAAACAACCTACTGATTTGGTAGAAATAAACTGCACCCCTTACTGAACCATGTAATTGTATAACCTTATTACTATTACTCTTTTGTTCCCTCAGTTGTATTGATTCTTACACCAATTTGTTGAATCTTCTTAACCTAGCCCTATTCCTTATCTTAACCAAGCTGTTCCCTGGGGACAGACCCCTGAATCAAGGCACTGTAATAAATCTCAAGTGTTGACTGTGAACTTTAACGCCATATTAATGCATGAGGGGCAGGAGGGGGTTCATGTAGTATAATAAATAGCTGTAGCATATCAGCTTGTAGGTACTGAAACAAACAACTGTTGGGACCTCAGTGATCCCAGTGCCAACCCCTGGACCACTAGTCTCTGATCCATAGAGCTGGTTGGGAATTTTTCAACAAAACATTTAACAAAACAGAAAATTCCAATTTGGCAAAAACAAAATGTTGTGCATCCTAGAGTTTCTGATTACAATGAGAGGCCAGTAGTGAGGGCACTCAGCTGGGGTGGAAAAGGCCCTAGTTCAAGTCCCTGGTCTAAATCTAGCAGAGGAGGGACTTGAATCTGGGTCGTCCATGTTCCAAGGAAGAGCCCTGCTGGGCAGTTGGCTCTTCTGGGGTTGTGGCTGGGGGTATGTGTCTCCCTCTCAAATATATTGTTTCCATCTAAAGAGGTCGGGTTCATCTCAATACAGATGGGGGGGGGATTTAAAATCTCAAAATTTTTCACAGAACAAATAGACAATTTCCCACACAGTCTACTGATTCACTCTTTAATCACTGCTATAGCTGCTTACTGAATTCCCTATGCCCAAGTAAATCGTTTCAGACACCGCTGCAAAGAGAACCAGAGCTGAATACGTTTACTATCTGCCCTTCCCCATGGCTTATGCATTAACTAAGCCTCTTTGTTTTGCTGTTGCAGCCACTACAGCGCTCTATGTACTGGTACTACATGATGGAACTCACCTTTGCCTTGGCACTGACTTTCACCATGGCCTTTGATGTGAAAAGAAAGGTGAGAGGAAGTACTCAGATTCTAGACAGCGATGTGTGAGATATAACTGGCCAGCCAGAGGTTATCTGGGGTCCGATCCAAAGTAACAAAGTCAGGGACCTATCCAGCACCCTCCCACTTCTTTCAGCTCTGCACGCTCACAACTGTCTATCTGCCTCATCAGTCTCTCAGTGACCCACACTTCAGCCTGTGGGGAGATTCACCCCAATCTGTTTTAAACGCTCTGCATCCTATAGACCCTCCCTTCAAAGGCCAGTTTGGGAGATGCTTAGATTCTAGTGTGGTAAGTTCAGTATGGATCAATAGATAGATGCAGACAAATTATCCCTTTCCTTAGAGGGTTAATTTTCCCCACTCAGTGTTGACAGGAGGGCAAATCTATCCATTTCAGCAGAGAAGTTTTTAATTTAATGTCAAGATATATAATTCTGTGGGACTGAGCTAACTCAAAGAGACAGGTTTCAGAGTGGTAGCCGTGTTAGTCTGTATCAGCAAAAAGAATGAGGAGTACTTGTGGCTTAAAGACCCTTAAAGACTAACAAATTTATTTGAGAGCATATCAATTCATGGCCTCCAAGACAGCCGCACTCCACAGGGCACTTCAGCTAGAGAAATCTACACATAGATTTGTACCAATTTAGTTAAGCCAGTGCAAACCCCTGTGTAGACACTCTTATTTCAGTTTCACTTAAACCTGTTCCTAAAGGTTGGCCTACATTCAGAAGTTGCAGCAGTTTAACTTAAATCAGTTTCAAAACAATTTAGTTAGACCAGTACTTACCCCTCTGCATCCACTTATATCACTTTAAACCTGGCATATATGGGTTTACATTGCACCTGTAATTTACAGGCACAAGCTAAATTGATATAAATCAGGTTTAAATAGCTTTAAGAGTGTTCACAAGTAAAGTGGCCTCAGGTTAACTACATTGGTTTAAAATCACACCTTTAGGTGAACTGACACAATTTTGTGTTTAGACCAGGACTAATCCATTTAAGTTAAATCAAAATAAGCCTGATTTAAAATGAATTAAGGGTTTGTCTACACAGGAAAATTGCACTGGTTTCACCTAAGGACATGGCTACATTTGCAGATGTAGAGCGCGGTGAGTTAAACCAGCCCTTGGAGACCGCAGCAGGGAAAGCTGACCATGTGAACACACGGCAGCGCTGCAAGCACAGTGGCGTGTGGCCACATTTGCGGCACTTGCAGTGGCATTGGGAGTGGTGCATTATGGGCAGCTATCCCACAGAGCACCTCTTCCCATTCTGGCACTGTGGCTTATGGGAAGGGGGCACAAGAGGCACGGGGCATTCTGGGTCCTGTTCCAATGTCCCGTGATGCATTGCTTTGCATCCCAGCAATCCCTGTGCTTCCGTCCACATTTGGCGCCATCTTTCAACATTTTTTGTACTGCGTGCTCTGTCTTCCCTTTCTGTCTGCAGGAATGGATCCCAAACTGCTGAGGAATATGCTGATGGGTCTTGCCAGCACGTCACAAATTGCAGTCAAGTTACTCCTTAAGCTACAAACTGACAGTGAGGAGTCCAACAGTGTCGACTTGCATAACGCATACAAATCAATGAATGAAAATCAAAAAGTGCAGGAGTGGCAGGAGAGTGAAAGGAGGCTCCGCCAGCAGAATGCGGATCGCTGGCACCAAAGTACAGAGCGGCTGAGCCCCTTAGCCCTGCTCTCTGGCTGTTCAAATTCAGCCTCCAGGTGTTGAACCTCTGAGTTCCATGCCTGCGTGAAGCTTTCACCCTTCCCTCTACAAATGTGATGTAGAGTACAGCAAGCCGCTATAACCGTGGGGATGTTGTCATTGGCCAGGTCCAGCTTCCCATACAGACAGCGCCAGCGGTCCTTTAAATGGCCAAAAGCACACTCCACAGTCATTCTGCACCGACTCAGCCTGATGAACTGCTCCTTGCAGCTGTCAAGGCTCCCTGTGTAGGGTTTCATGAGCCACAGCATTAAAGGGTAAGCAGGGTCTCCAAGGATCACAATGGGCATTTTGACTTCCCCTATGGTGATCTTCTGGTTTGGGAAGAAAGTCCCTGCTTGCATCTTCCTGAACAGGCCTGTGTTCCAAAAGATGTGTGCATCATGCATCTTTCCAGACCAACCTGCGTTAATGTCCATGAAATGCCCATGGTGATCCACAAGTGCCCGGAGAACCATAGAGAAATACCCCTTCCGATTAACATACTCGAAGACTAGATGGGCTGGTGCCAGAATTGGAATATGCGTCCCATCTATAGCCCCTCCGCAGTTAGGGAAACCCATTTGTGCAAAGCCAGCCACAATGTCACACACGTTGCCCACAGTTCTTCTGAGCAGGATGCGATTAATGGCCCTGCACACTTGTACCAAAACAATTCCAACGGTAAACTTTCCCATTCCAAACTGGTAAATGACCAATTGGTAGCTGTCTGGAGTTGCCAGCTTTCAGATTGCAATAGCCACCCACTTCTCCACTGTCAGGGCAGCTCTCAATCGCATGTCCTTGCGCCGCAGGGTGAGGGCGAGCTCCCCACACAGTCCCATGAAAGTGGCTTTTCTCATGCAAAAATTCTGCAGCTGCTGCTCATCATCCCAGACTTGCAAGATGTGATCCCACCACTCAGTGCTTGTTTCCAAGCCCAAAAGTGGCGTTCCACTGTGGTGAGCATGTCTGTGAATGCCACAAGCAATCTTGTGTTGTATGTGTTATGCAAGTCGACCTCATCGGACTCCTCAATGTCAGTTTGTAGCTTAAGTAGTAACTCGACTGCAATTCATGACATGCTGGCGAGACCCATCAGCATATTCCTCAACAGTTCGGGATCCATTCCCGCAAACAGAAAGGGAAGACCGAGCATGCAATACAAAAAACATTGAAAGATGGCGCCAAATGTGGACGGAAGCACAGGTTTTACTGGGATGCAAAGCGATGCATCATGGGACATTGGAACAGGACCCAGAATGCCCCGCGCCTCCTGTGTCCCCTTCCTACAAGCCACAGCACTATAATGGGAAGAGGTGCTCTGTGGGATACCTTCCCATAATTCACTGCTCCCAATGCTACTGCAAATGTGGCCATGCCAGTGCACTTGCAGCTGACAGTGCTTTCCCTGCTGCAGTCTCCAAGGGCTGGTTTAACTCAAAGCACTCTACAGCTGCAAGTGTAGCCATGCCCATATTCTCAGTCATTTTTCTGCATCTAACTCATGTCATGTTCTGGGAAGCCAGGTGAGATCCCAGTATATCTAGAGAGTTTAGATTATCTAGAGACAGTTTCTAAACACTGGAAAGGCAGCAGTATCCCTTGTGCTGGTACCTGCAGTTTGTCACAAAACTGGAACTCAATCTGTCGTCTTATTCCAGGACTTTAAGGAACAAATGGTGCACCACGCAACTACCATCATCCTGATCAGTTACTCATACTGTGCCAATTACCTCCGGATTGGGTCTTTGGTGATGTTGCTCCATGTTTCTTCCACTGCTCTCCTAGAGGTAGGTTATTCACTGGTTATAAAATAGCTGTGGCCAGGGCCGGCTCTAGCATTTTTGACTCCCCAAGCAGGAGAAAAAAAAAAGCCGCGATCACAAGCGGCGGCAGCTCTAGCGCCGCTTCATTCTACGGCGGCAATTCGGTGGCAGGTCCTTCGCGCCGAGAGGGAGTGACGGCCCCGCCGCCGAACGGCCGGACGTGCAGCCCCCGCCTTCAACCTGCTTGCTAGGCTGGTGCCTGGAGCCAGCCCTGGCAATGGCACTTGGGCTTCCTTTCTTAGAACATATACTCCTGTTGCACTGTAATGGATACATTGCAATATCCCTTCCATGCTGTCTCCATTTTCTTGGTTTATTTTCATAGAATTGGAGGACTGGAAGGGACCTCAAGAGGTCGTCTAGTCCAGTCCCCTGCATTTTATTTTGTTATCTCTAAAAAGAAATGCTAAGAGAAGTTTTAAAAAGAACTCTAAGCAGCATTTTGTGTTGGGTGAAACAGTTCAGTCTCTTGTGTCGGACAATGTTCGGTTCTGATCCTGCTCTCTTATACACGTGCTTAGCAACACAAGTGACTCCACTTCCAACTAACTCAACTGTCATTCTGGAAAAGTCAGAGTATTTCACCAAAGAAATAACCTAGATGATTCAACTGTCCTCCGATGAGCAATTATGTCAAATTTAGAAATTGAATTTATTTATATTTATTTTATTTATATTTATTTTATTTATTAAATTGTGAAATAGAGGGATTTTAGTCCTGCTTTGAGTGTAAACTTCAGCACAATCTTCACTATGGAATCTCTACTAGAACTTCCAAATTACTGTCACTATCTTTTTAAGAGTGACAGCTTCTGGTGACATTTGATTAGATGATATAGATACTTGGGCCCAGATTTTCCAAAGTCACCACTGACTCTGCATGCCCCGGTTTTTGGGAGCCTAACTTTAAACCCCTCAGTTTCAGAGTTGCTGGGCCCCTGCAGCTCCCATTGATTTCACGTGGGGCTGTGGGCATTCCTTACCTCTGAAAATCAGACTCAGGTGTCACAAGCTGGATGCCCAAAATCAGTGGCCAGTGGGAAATTTGGTTATGTGCAGCCTTAGGAATGTTTCCTTCTGTTTTACTGTGCATGCTGGCTTGAGTCCCTCTTCGCAAAGAGTGGGTTTACGCACACTGCATGGATGCAGTTCAAAGTCTCAGAATACCTAGCAATCACCAAGAGTTTGAAACTTGTTTCTAGTTAGCTGGGTGAACATGTAGTCCAATCCCAAGCCAACATTATACAGCAGACTCACTGTAGTTTAGACACTTACACAGTTTACATACCTGGGCATGTTCTCTCTTACAAGCATTAGAATTAAAATGACCAGGCTGTCATCTGCCTTATAGGTTATAAATGTGTAAAGTCTGTGTTTTTTATCAAGTAAAAATTTATGGATACATATTACTACTTCTCCAGCTCGTTTGGTGATTCATGATTTGGTGCTTTTTCTAGACAAGTATCAGCTTTAGAAGGAATTACTATTATTGGGTCTGATTCTCTGTGCCTGGCACCTTGTGTCACCAGTGATACCTGTGCAAAGTGTGGGCAAAATGCTGCCATTCTGATCTCAGAGCATTGTACACTCCTTTTGCCCTGGGGTAAATGAAGACACAAGCAGGTCAGACAGGTGAAAGTCAGTTTCTCGCTGCTGAAAAGACCTAGATAAACATTGTCCCTGGAGCAGGAAAAACTCTCTGGAAAACACCTGGAAGTACTTTATTAAATAAAATGCAGGGCATAGTATGTAAAGAGTTCCACCTCTCTCAGGAAATGTAATTTCCTGCACTTACTTAGGATATCCACCTTGTCCAGGATGTGCTGCCTGCAGGTTTGAAAGGGGAGTTAAATTCCTATGACTCATCTTTGGCCTCTGAGATTGAGGGCTGAATGTCACACTGTGCCTCACTGCGCTGTGTGGGTGTTCACGGTGCTATCACACACTGGCTGACAATAATGGCTTGTTTCTTCTCTCCCCAGCTAACCAAGTTGCTTCATTACTTGAACTGGAGACGTGCAAGCCACCTTCTCTTCTTAACTTTCTCGTCCGTTTTCCTTGTTACTCGGCTCATCGTTTTCCCATGCAGGTGAGCCTTGGCTTTACTGCAGGTTTCTTCAGGTTTTCTTCAAATGCGCCTCCCATGGAGTATTCCAGAGTCACCAGGGACTTGCCTGGCTTGCCCAGCTCCCATCGAGTAGTTCAAAGCTCCTTGGGGGGCAAGGTTGATCCCACTGGGTCCTGACCCTGTTGAATCTGGGATAATTTTAAAAATGATTGATTTATTTTCCCTTTGATAAACACATAGAATATCAGGGTTGGAAGGGACCTCAGGAGGTCATCTAGTCCAACCCCGTCCTCAAAGCAGGACCAATCCTGGAAGAGGGAGAAAACTTGTTCACCTTAGCCTCTAAGGATAGAACAAGAAGCAATGGGCTTAAACTGCAGCAAGGGAGGTCTAGGTGGGACATTAGGAAAAAGTTCCTAACTATCAGGGTGGTGAAACACTGGAATAAATTGCCTAGGGAGGTTGTGGAATCTCCATCTCTGGAGATATTTAAGAGTAGGTTAGATAAATGTCTATCAGGGATGGTCTAGACAGTATTTGGCCCTGCCATGCGGGCAGGGGACTGGACTCAATGACCTCTCAAGGTCCTTTCTAGTCCTAGAATCTATGAATCCCCAGACAGATTTTTTACCTCAGTTCCCTAAATGGCCCCCTCAAGGATTGAACTCCTAACCCTGAATTTAGCAGGCCAATGCTCAAACCACTGAGCTATCCCTGCCTGCCCACTTGCCTACCCCTTTTCCTTTCCTTTCCTTTCCTTTCCTTTGTTTGGTTAGGCTAAACAAGCCAAGCTCTTTGAGTCTCCTCTGATAAGGTAAAAAGCAACAAAGGGTCCTGTGGCACCTTTAAGACTAACAGAAGTTTTGGGAGCATAAGCTTTTGTGGGTAAGAACGGGTTCTTACCCACAAAAGCTTATGCTCCCAATACTTCTGTTAGTCTTAAAGGTGCCACAGGACCCTCTGCTTTTTACAGATTCAGACTAACACGGCTATCCCTCTGATACTCTGATAAGGTAGGTTTTCCATTCTTCTGATCATCCTAGTATCCCTTCTCTGCACCTGTTCCAGTTCAAATTAATCTTCCTTAAACATGGGAGACCAGAACTGCACACCATATTCCAGATGAAGTCTCACCAGTGCCTTGTATAATGGTACCAACACTTCCCTGTCTCTACTGGAAATACTTTGCCTGATGCATCCTAGGACTTCATTAGCCTTTTTCACGGCCACTTCACATTGGGGGTTCAGAGTCATCCTGTAATCAGGTCTTTCTCCTCAGTCACTTCCAACTGATACATCCCCAGCTTATAGCAAACCCCCTTGCTTTTAGTCCCTAAGTGCATGACCTTGCATTTTGTGCTATTACATTTCTATTACTCCAGTTTACAAGATCATTCAGATCTTCTTGTATGATATTCTGGTCCTCCGCCGCATTGACAATACCCCCCAACTTTGTGTCATCTGCTAATTTTATTCGCACATTCCCACTTAATGTCCTCGGCACAAAAATGAAGATGTTAAATAAGATTGGTTCCAAGGCCGATCCCCGAGGAACTCCACTATTAACATCCCTTTGTTTAGGTATTGGGCCATGCCTAGATTATCTTTAATCTCTACCATCCTCAGTGATTAGCAGTTCCACTTCTTCTTTCCTTGTTTTCATTTTATTTGAGTATAGAACATTTTACTGTTGGTTTTAATCTCCTTTGCAAGGTCCAACTCTGCTTGGCTTATGGCAGTTCTCACTTTTCCCCTATGCTTTCTGACTTCCAAGTGGTATCTTTCCTTGCTGATCATCCCATCTTCCATTCCTTGTAGGTTTTCTGCTTTCTCTTAATCACCTGTTTAAAATGCTTGTTCATCCAGTTTGGTCTGCAACCCTTCCCTATGAATTTTTTCTGCTTGCTTGGGATGCAGGCTTCAGCTAGCTTCTGCAACTTTGACTTAAAGTAATTCCAAGACTCCTCCACATTCAGATCCTTGAGTTCTTCTATCCAGTCCAATTTTTGTTTATCCTTCTATTTAGTTTAAACGGAATTAGCTCATGATCACTTGAACCAAGGCTGCCCCCAGTTCTTCTGTGAGGTCCTTACTACTCACCAATACCAAATCTAAAATCGCATCTCTTCTTGTTGATTCAGTGACTATTTGGTGAAGAAATCTGTCAGTTATCACATCCAGAGATATCTGGGTCGTACCATTATTAATAGCACTTGTCCTCCAATCTATATTTGGGAAATTAAAGTCTCCCATAATCACACAATTCCCAGTAGTATTTATTTCATTAAAAACATTAAAGAGGTCTCTGTCCAGATCCAGATCAGATCCTGGGGGTCTGTAGCACACCCCAAGCATAGCCCAGGGGAACCTCTAGTAGCTTTCTTCCCCAAAGTGATTTTGGCCCAAACAGACTGTTTTATCCATTCCATCTCGTCATTAATATACAGAGCTTCTCCACCATCTTTACCTTTATTCTGTTTTTTTTCTGAACAGCACATACCCTTCAGTACCTGTGCTACAGCCATGACTACTATTCCACCGTGTTTCTATTACCCCTCTAATATCTGGTTTCACTTCCTGCACCAGTACTTCTAATTCCTCTATTTTGTTACCCAAGCTCCTTGCACTGGGGTACAGACATCTTAGTTGTTGCTGCTTGACTTCGCTCACATTCCTCACCCATTTGGGTACAGTCATTCTTCAGACAGTATCACCTACCTGACTGTTAGTGTCATTGGTATCAGCACAACCTTTCCTCTTGATGTCCATTCTCCTACCCATTGCTGTTCCTTTCTCCTTTGCCGTATCCTCTCTTACTTGATCTTCCTCCCTCTCAATGTTAAAATCAGACGTGAAGATTACATGAGCATCTCCTCCAAGTTCCTAGTTTAAAGCTCTTTTAATCAGTTGTGCCAACCTCCATCCCAGAAGTCTATTTCCCTCCCTATTCAGGTGAAGTCCATCCCATGAGAAGTCGTTTGTTCATGAATGCCTTCCAGTGGTCAAACATCCCAAAGCCCTCCTTATGCCTGAGCCATCTATTGATTACCATAATCTTGTCTTGCCTTTGTTCTCCTCCTCCAGGGACAGGTAGAATCCCACTGAAGATCACCTGAGCCTCCATTTCCTTAAGCATCTTCCCCAGCCTGGCATAGTCTTCCTGGATGTGTTCCAGTGAGAATCTAGCTGTCATTGTCCTTCACATGGGAACAAATCAGTGAATTCTTTTCTGCTCCCATTAGGATCCTCTTCCGTCTCAGGTCCACATCCTGTATCTTCACTCCTGGCAGATAGCTCACCCCTCTATTCTCTGGATCAGCTCTGGTGACACACCTGCCAGTTTTTCTTAGTAGGGAGTCCCCAGTCACGTAGACCTGCCTCTTCCTGGTGATGGTGCGATTCTCCAGCCTTCCTCCTGTTTTCTTTCAGGCTGCAAGTCCTCTTGTCTTTTGTTCTCATTTCCAATCTTCTGTGAGTCATCCTCTGTCCTCCTAGGGCTCCAAACTCTGGCTATCTCCATTGAGTCTTCCCCTCTTCTTGTAGGGCTAGCCGCTCTTCTCTTCCTCCTGGCCCTCCCACCTTCTGTTAGTGCCTCCTGTGCCCCTTCTTCATTCTCCAACTCAGCAAACCTGCTCCTGAGCTTTGTTTCTCCTTCACTAGCCAGTCTTTTCCTCTGCCTGGTTCTTGTAGTGATGGGCTACCACTGGCCCCTTTCCTCACCCAGCCATCTCCCGTCACAGTTCTCCAGTCCAGCCTGCATCTGCAAGTCTTGACATTTCCCTTCAGTCTCGTCTTGCCATCCCTCATCATCTGCCTGAATCCCCTACGAAACTCAACCATAGTAACCACCTGCATCTCCAAACTTCAGATCTTCTGTTCCATCAGCTCTATCAGGCAGCACTTCATACAAACAAAGCTCTTTTTTTCAGGTACCTGCTCCAGGATCATGTACATCCTGTAGCTTCCACTTCAGGTCCTCTTAATTGTCTCTTCCATTGCTTGGGTCACTACCATTTCTGCCTTGGTGTCTGTCATAGTCTTCCCACCTAAAGTCCTGTCAAGGAAAAAGAAAAGCAAAACAAAAAAACCCAAACACCGACATCACACATTTCTCCCCTCTCCCCCCCCCCCCCGCCCTTTCCCAACTCCCATGCAAAATCCCCTGTTTACAGCTGTGACTGGACAGGAAGCAGCAGCTGGCTGGGCCGGAGCTGAACATGAGTCAAGTCCCGCCCCAAGCCGAGCTCAGCCAGCCAGCCAGCACCATGTAGTGACCCATACTACTACTCCCCAGGACAGGATCGGCCTACCCCCTCCCCACCCTGTCCACAACGGAACCAGCCTGCTAACCCCCATGACAGGCACAGCCTCAGCATGGAGGTGGGAAGGGGGAAGCCCACTCTGCCTTCCCGCTATTGGGAAAAAATGCAGCAATACACCAGGGACTCAATGGCTGTGCATATCCCATGAAAATCCAGCATTCACTCGGGACACTGGCGTGAATTTAAACAAAAAAATCTGATTTTTCTCAGCCTTAACCATGATTCCAAAATCCTTTTTCAGAGTCACTGCTTCTTAGGATGGAATTCCCCCACCTGGTAACTGTGGCCGACAGTCTTTGTTCCCAGCTGTATAACTTACATTTGGCTGTATTAAAATGCACATTGGTTGTTTGTGTCCAGCTTCCCAAGTGATCCTGATCACACTGAATCAGTGATCTGGTCTCTTATTTACCACTTCCCCCAGTTTTTGTGTCATCCACAAACTTTATCAGTGATGATTTTATGTTTTATTACAGGCTATTGAGGAAAGTGTTAAACAGCCCAGGGCCAAAAACCAATCACTGCATGACCCCACTAGAAATAACCCAGTTGATAATGATTCCTCACTTAGTTACACTTTTAGCTATGTCAGTGAGCTAGTTTGTAGTCCATTTAATGTGTGCTATGTTAATTTTGTATCATTCTAGTTTCTTAATCAAATATCATATGATGCCAACTCAGATACCTTACATCAACACTATGAACCAAACTTGTAATCTCATAAAAAATTATATCAAGTTAGTCTGACAGTATCTATTCTCCATAAACCAATGCTGATTGACATTAGTTGTATTACATTCCTTTAATTTTCTATTAATGAATCCTATATAAGCCTCTCCATCATCTTGCCCAGGATTGATGTCTGTCTGATAGGCTTATCATTACCCAGGTCATCCCATTTACTCTCGTTAAATTTTGGCACAACATTAGGTTTCTTCCAGTCTCTGGAACTTCTCCAGTGTTCCAAAACTTACTGAAAATCAACATTAATGGTCCAATAAGCTCCTCAGCCAGCTCTTATAAAATTCTTGGATAGAAGTTATCCAACTAAAAAATGTCTAAGTTTAGTAGCTGCTGTTTAATATCCTCCTGTGTTACTGCTGAAATTGAAAGTTTTCACCATCATCGTATGACATGACTACACCATTTTCCCCCCAAATACAGAGCAGGAATATTTATTGAACACTTCTGACTTTCTCCATTATTACTGACATGTTGGAGTCCCAAGGTCTAGTCCCTGCTCTATCTATCTATTCAAAGTGGAACAACTTCAACAGGAGAGATTGATACAGAACCATACCTGAAACCCCAATAGCCTGGTGTTCAGGAGATGGGAGACCCAAATTACAGTCCCTGCTCCAAATAAGGCAGAGCAGATGTTTGAAAACAGATCTCCCATATCCCAGCTGAGTGCCCTAATCACTGGGCTGTTGGCTACAAGGGGGGTAGGGGTAACAGTCTCTCTCTTTTTGTGGCTTTTGGAGAGAGAGAACTGTCCTGGTTTAGGTGCCTAATTCCAGGAGAAGGTTCATGGTTGTGGGCCTCAAGCAAAGCTCCTCCCTCCAGCCTAGAGTAGAGTTAGGCACCTAATTACCTTTACGGGTGGGATTTAGGTCACACCCCTCCTGGCTAATTTAGGTAGATCCCCATTCAGCTTGCTGACTTCTGTGTCCCCTTTTCTTAGGTGCCTAACTCTCCTCGTACCTTGTATAGGGAGCCTGGGTGCCCGGCTTGGGGCTGATGGTGCCACTGGGTACCTAACACTAAGGTGTTTCAGCACCTATGTCCTATTGGGGAACTAGCCCTAAGTGACCACCAGAAAATCAATGTTCAGGAAGGGTTAGCAATCTTGTCCCATTAAAATTAAACAAGTAAAACACACATCCAGTGTCTCTGGACACTTCCTGTAATTGTCTCACCATCTGGGTTTGTTGCTATAGCAATTTCCTAACCTTACTAAGAGCCTTGAAAACTCCTAATTATTTCTTTTGGCTTAAACTCCCAGTGTGATGCTGTGAGTAAGAGGGCTAATGTGCTGTTTGAATGTATGAATAGGAATTTCAGGGAGTAGGGAGGTGGTATTGCTTCTGCATACAATATTGATGAGACCATTCCTGGAATATTCTATCCAGTTCTGGTGTCCTCACTTCAAAAAGATGTTGAAGAATTTGAAAGAGTTCAGAAAAGAGTCACAAGAACGATTCAAGGTCTGGAAAATCTGCCTTACAGTAAGAGATTTAAGAAGCTCAATCTATTTATCTTATCAAGGACGAAATTAAGAGGTGACTTGAGCATAGTCTACAATTGCCAACATGGGGAAAAGATTTCTGATGGCAGAGGGCTCTTAAATCTCACAGATCAAAGTGTAATAATATCCAGTGGCTGGAAGTTGAAGGTAGACAAATTCAAACTGGAAATAAGGTGCCAGTATTTAAGTGATGATAATTAACCATTGGAACAAGTTGTCTAGAGAGTTGATAAATTTTTCATTACTGAAAGTCTTTATCTCAAGATTGGAGGGCTTTCTGAGGTGCACACGTCAGTTATGGATGTGATACAGGATTTACTGAGTGAGGTTCTATGGCCTTCCTATGCACTAGATGATCATAATGGTCCCTTTTGGCAGTAAAATCTATGAAATGCATCAATTTATATCAGACTTTGTATCTTCAACTTTTGTTTATTTTATAAATAGTTTCATATGTCAGGGTGACCTAATTGTTTGTTACCTTTCATTTGCTTTGGACAATTTAAGACATTCATCCAGTGTAAAGGCCACAACTGGCACAACAGAACTGACCAGAACTTCCACCCAGACCTGGAACTGAACACTCTGCGGTTGGCGTCTTGCTATTGCTGCTTAGATCTCATACCTGTTCTTGACTGAGTTTGTCTCTTGCTATATTGCAGGGTGCTGTATACTTCACTCTATATTTCCATGGAGTTCCTCCAGCCCTTCTTCGGATACTATTTCATGAATGCTCTCCTGATGGTTTTGCAGCTGCTGCACATCTTCTGGGCCAGCCTAGTCATTCACATGCTCTACAAATTCATCAATGGCACGGTATAGCCATTGCCTGTACAACCTTAATTCAGTCCCCTTATTGTATGCATTATGCTATGGTACAGTCTGTAGTTATGGGATCACGTACTACTTTTTCCATAAGATCCCCAGCTGCATTCAGTGTACAGAATGGATGTTGCTCAAGGCATGAATCAAGTCTGCGTAGAGAAGAAAACTTTTGTCTGTGGGAGCCCCGCTTTTCACAGGTGGTCACTAATTGTATGGTCCCTATTTTTCAGGTGTCTAGCTTGAGACCCTGGGGTCTGACTTACAGACAGCTGCAGCTGATGTCCATGGCACAGATTAAGTGCAATATAACTCTGGAAAATCAGGTCCTAAGCATCTCAAATCAGGCACCCAAAATTAGTGGATATTTTTTACCTTAATCTCTGTGTGTCTCAAGTTCCCATCTGTAACCTGGGGGTCATATTCCCTTCATCGCACAGGGGAGCTGTGAATGTTGGTGAAGCACTCCGATATTTTAGTGAGGAGTGCTATGGAAAATCCCTGAGGAAATGAATAATTCTGTCTTCGAAGCATGGTTTGCCAAGGGTGCAGTAATTAAAGCCTGGGGCTACACATTGAACAATGAGGAGAAAACAAGATATCAAAGAGCTGCTCACTAAGTGACACTGTCCATCCTGTGCACTGGGCCCAGCTTCCAGCTGGCCACCACTGCTGGAGCTGGAGGAGGGTGCCTGGCTGCTCTGCTCCGCTGCTTTTCTGGGGGAGGTGTGGTGTGGCTGTGGCTGTCGCTCACCCCCCACCTGCTTCCATTCTGCCAGCAGCAGCAGCAGCTTTCTTGTCTTGTTCCCTAGCTCCAGCGTGGGAGGAGGCCTGTCCGCGGCAGTGTTGCCCCTTCCCGTTGTAGGTTCGCTTTGCCTTGGTTGATGTTCTCCCTTCCCCTCTTGTGTGTGTTTGGTCTGTTTGTCCCACCCATATTCCCCTTTTTCTCCTCCTGCCTTTCCCTTCCCTTTTGTTGGGAAGACGGCTTCCTTGTGCTCCCCTTCCCTTCCCTGTTCAGCTTCCTCAGCCCCTGCCCAGGGAGCCCTTTTCCCTTGGGGGGGGGGGGGGAACAGGTTTCCCCCTGCTCCCCCTTCCCTGCTTCTCAATCCCTTCCCTTCCCCCTCCCCCGCCCGAGGTGCAGGGGTGCACCAGTAAAGCCACTGTAACCATGATATCTGGGCCAGCCCTTCCCCAGAGCCTCCCTCTCAGCCCACCCAGGTGCCTGGGGTGGCCTCCCCATTGCACCCAGACAAGCATTATGGCCAGTGTGCACAGGCTTGAAGTGGGAGATGGCAATGGCAGGAGATGGAGAGTGCCCCCTTGGGAGGGAAGATGGAGACCCAGAGGTGCTGCCAATGGCCCCCGCTGGCAAATGCCATCTTGCTTGCTGACTTGATAGTGTTGCTTGGGAGATGGTCTGGGAGGGGGGCAGGAAGAGGGGGGACAAGCGCAGCATTAAGGGGAAGCACCAGGCTGGGGGGCAGCTGCTGCTTTCAGATTTGGGGGAGGCCTCCCCTTCACCATTCTCGGGGGGATGCTGCTGTTTCTGCTACACCCCATTTAGTGTCCCCAGGAAAGTTCACTGTGTGGAACTGGCTGAGGAGGTGGTTTGGGGGGGGGGATGTTGTTGCTGCTGTTCCCCCCATTAAAGGAGCCCATTGTGGAGGAAGTTGCCAGTGGGTTCCCTTGTTATCAACATCAGTCCCCCCAGTTGGTGCCGAGCTTGAGATTTCTTCCTTGGTTGCCAGTGGGGTGGATTTTGTGACTGGGAGCCTTCCAGAAAACTTGGGGGAGATCTGGAACCTGGGTCTGACACCAGCTGACCTAGACAGGGATGACCATCTTCCCCCAGATCCCAATCTTGGTGCCAAGCATATTTTGATGCCCCCATTCTCCTTCTGCTCTTGACCCCAGCCCCACTTCAGAGGTGCCCCTTGGTCCTGGTCCTGGCAACCTCCTCTTCCTGAGCCAGTTAGAGCATGACTTTCTCCGCTACCTCCGAAGGCTGTGATATGACCGGCAGCTCTTTTATCTCCATCTGAGAGCTCTCCCTCAAGACCTCTCTGAGTTCATAGAATCATAGAAGATTAGGGTTGGAAGAGACCTCAGGAGGTTATCTAGTCCAACCCCCTGCTCAAAGCAGGACCAACCCCAGCTAAATCATCCCAGCCAGGGCTTTGTCAAGCCTGACCTTAAAAACCTCTAAGGATGACAATTCCACCACCTTCCTAGGGAACCCATTCCAGTGCTTCACCACGCTCCTAGTGAAATTGTTTTTCCTAGTATCCAATCTAGATCTCCCCCACAGCAACTTGAGACCATTGCTCCTTGTTCTGTCATCTGCCACCACTGAGAACAGCCGAGCTCCATCCTCTTTGGAACCCCCTTTCAGGTAGTTGAAGGCTGCTATCAAATCCCCCCTCACTCTTCTCTTCTGCAGACTAAACAAGCCCAGTTCCCTCAGCCTCTCCTCATAAGTCATGTGCCCCAGTCTCCTAATCATTTTCGTTGTCCGCCGCTGGACTCGCTCCAATTTGTCCACATCCTTTCTGTAGTGGTAGGCCCAAAACTGATGCAATACTCCAGATGTGGCCTCACCAGTGCTGAATAGAGGGGAATAATCACTTCCCTCGATCTGCTCCTACTAATGCAGCCCAATATGTCATTAGCCTTCTTGGCAACAAGGGCACACTGTTGCCGGTTTTTGCCAGGACCTTCTCAGGATCTGGAAGTTGGTCTCCAAAGCCAAGTCTATTGTGGCCACCGAGGGTTTAGAGCTCCTTGCTGAACCCCTGTTCCACAATCCATATCTTGAGGCACAGGTGGTGGAGGTCCCCTTGTTGTGCTGGAGGTTGGTCCTGGCAGGTGTTTCCAAAACTGGAGATCTTCTGGACTACAGGACAGAGTGGACCCTGGTATGCTCACCCAGCATATGGGATTGCCCATCCCGCATGTCCTCTGCCATGTGCTGCGGAAGGAAAAGGCTGCCCTGCCTTCTGCCTCTGTAGCTTTCTTCAATGAGTCCTGCAGCAGGGTGTTCCCCGTCCTCCCATCTCCCAAGGCCTGCCAGAGCTTGATGTTGGGCCCCTGCCCTGCGAGCCCTCTCCCGGCTGCTTTTGAGCTGGCTTGGACTTTCAGAAAGCCTTTAACAAGGTCTCTCACCAAAGGCTCTTAAGCATAAGAGGGAAAGTCCTCTCATGTATCAGAAACGGTTAAAAGATAGGAAACAAAGGGTAGGAATAAATGGTCAGTTTTCAGAATGGAGAGAGGTAAATAGTAGTGTCCCCCAGGGGTCTGTACTGGAACAAGTGCTCTTCAGCATATTCATAAATGACCTGGAAAAAGGGGTAAACAGTGAGGTGGCAAAGTTTGCAGATGATACAAATTACTCAACGTAGTTAAGTCCAAAGCAGACTAGGGCTAGGTCTACACTACCCGCCTGAATCGGCGGGTAGAAATCGATCTCTCGGGGATCGAATTATCGCGTCTCCTCGGGATGCGACAATCGATCCCCGAATCGACGCTCTTACTCCACCAGCGGAGGTGGGAGCCACGGAGGTCGATTTTGCCGCCGTCCTCACAGCTGGGTAAGTCGGCTCCGATAGGTCGAATTCAGCTACGCTATTCGCGTAGCTGAATTTGTGTATCTTAAATCGACCCCCACCCCCGTAGTGAAGACCTGCCCTATGAGGAGTTACAAAGGGATCTGATCAAACTGGTGGCTGGGCAACAAAATATCAGATGAAATTCAATATTGATAAATGTAAAGTAATGCACATTGGAAAACCTAATCCTGACTATACATACCAAACAATGGGGTCTAAATTTGCTGTTACCACTCAAGACAGATCTTGGCGACAACATGGATAGTTCTCTGCTAACATTTGCTCAATGTGCAGTAGCAGTCAAAAAAGCTAAGAGAATATTAGGAACCATTAGAAAAGGGATAGAAAATAAGACAGAAAATATCATAGTGCCACTATATAAATACGCCCACACCTTGAATACTGCATGCAATTGAGGTTGCCCCAGCTCAAAAATAGATGTATTAGAATCAGAAAAAGTAAAGAGAAGGGCAACACAAATGATTACGGTTATGGAACAGCTTTTCTACAGGGATATATTTAAAAGACTGGGACTGTTCATCTTAGAAAGAGCCAATTAACAGGGGATAAAATCATGAATAGTGTGAAGAAAGTTGACAAGGAAGTGTTATTTACCCTTTCAGATAACACGACAACCAGGGATCACCCAATAAGAACATAAGAACGGCCATACTGGGTCAGACCAAAGGTCCATCTAGCCCAGTATCCTGTCGTCTGACAATGGCCAATGCCAGGTGCCCCAGAGGGAATGAACAGAACAGGGAATCATCAAGTGATCCATCCTCTGTTGCCCATTCCTAGCTTCTGGCAAACAGATGCTAGGGGCACCATCCCTGCCCATCCCGAATAACAGCCATTGATGAACCTATCCTCCATTAATTTATCTATTTCTTTTTTGAACCCTGTTATCGTCTTGGTCTTCACAGTCTTGGCCTTCGCAACATCCTCTGGCAAAGAGTTGACTGAAATTAATAGAGTTCAAAAAAGAATTGGATCAGTTCCTGGAGGATAGGTTGGTCCATCAGTGGCTATTAGCCAAGATGGTCAGGGGCTCAACCCCATGCTCTAGGTGTCCCTAAACATCTGACTGTCCAAAGCTGGGACTGGAGGACAGGGGATGGATCATTCGATAAATTGCCCTGTTCTGTTCATCTCCTCTGGGGCACCTGGCACTAGCCACTGTCGGAAGTCAGGATACTGGGCTAGAAGGACCATTGGTCTGACCCAGTATGGCCATTCTTAGGTTCTTACATTTTAACTGAAAGCAGGGAGCCTGTCTCTCCTGCGCTCTCTCAGTGATCTCTCTTCTGGGCCCAGGCAATATGGAAGAGGAAGCTGTCAGTTCAAATGGAGAGGTGATAGCCTGACCTGGGGTGGAGGGGTTGGCCAGACTGGGAAAAGGAGAATGGGGAGACTGGGTCTGGAGGCTGATGGGGGAGATGCAGATTGTGACTAGGAGTTGGGGTGAAGGAGAGACTGGAACTGGTTGGGAAAAGACCCTAGAACTGTAACCTGAGGAGGAGACTGGGAGCCAGGGGAGACTGGAACTGGCAGAGCAGGGAGACTGGGAGTCAAAGGGGAGACTGCTTGGCACTGGCTGGGGAAGTAAACAATGAGCTGGGGGGTTGTAGGGGAATTGGGAATGACTGGACAAGTAGCCTGGGACTGGTGGAAGGAGATTAAGCCTTGCAGGACAAGGAAACTGGGATGAGACTGGTACTGGCTAGATGAGGAAAAGGCACTGGGACAAGGAGGCAGGAGTGGGGAAGATCTGTGACTGGGACAGGTTTCTGGGGATGGGACAGAAGTGCTCACCCTGGAGTGGAATGGGCAGAAGCCAGGTCTCCTGTACCCAATCCAATGCTCTATCCACTGCCTCCTGAAGCCCTTATTCACACAAAATCTGCCGCAATCAATAGACTTGCCATGGAAGGACCTCGGGGTTTGGCCCAATGTGCTCCTAGTGCTAGGAAACCCTTTCGTTTGCTGAATTTCAGCCCGTTGCTACAAACTGTGCCACTTTCCTCTTCCACCCACAGACCAACACAAACAATCCTTCCCCCTCCTTGGAACGGAGGCACTGCATAGCCCAGCCAGCTGTAGAAAGCTCTTTTTTCCTTTCCTCCAGCCCCCTTCAACAGGGATTTGTTACCCTTCTCTGAAGCTAGAAAGGAAATGTGCTCAGGGGCCCCAGCTGTCACAGCAGGGCAGCCCAAGCAAAACCACAGGCCAGCACAGGCCAGCATGCCTTCAGCCCCTCCTCCAGTCTAGCCCAGCTGTGAGTGTTTGGAAGGTAAATCCTCCCCACCCAGGAACTTAATGTGCTTCTTTGACCTCAAGCTGCTTCAAGCCTGTACAGCCGTTCCTGGCCTCGCCCAGGAATGTCCCTGGGTCACCCCTCGAGTGAGACAGAGGGACAGTCAGAGCCCGTTTCAAGGAGAGACTCTCCAAAGGGCAGCCCGGGAGGACACGAGAAAGGGTTTGCTAAAGCCCACGGACAGAAATGGCAGCTGGACTCGTCATCCAGCGGCTCAGCTGTTTCTTGAGCAGTTTTCCACGTATTATTGCCTCTGATTTAAAATGTCTCTCTCCTGCAGATAAAAAACGATGCAAGAAGTGACACAGAAGAAAGTGATGAGAGTGAAGAGGTGCAAGAACAGAACAACAAAGAGAAAAATGGGACCATGCATTTCAGCAACGTCACAAACAATTGCAGCCAAAGTAACAGCTACCACTCTGAAACCAGCCAAAGTAATGTGGCCCAACAACTAACTGGCAGAGCCCATCTCACTAATGGGTGCTAATGCTCCAGAACGGCTGACTGCCCCCGTCTATAACAAAGCAGCCCAGTGTCCTTAGGAACTGTCATGCTCACTGTATAGACCTGTGGGGATTAGGGTGACCAGATGTCCTGATTTTATAGGGACAGTCCCGATTTTGGGGTTTTTTTCTTATATGGGCTCCTATTACCCCCCACCCCCTTCACACTTGCTGTCTGGTCACCCTGGTGGAGATACAGCCATTTGGCTAGTTAGTTTTAAGAGTAGCAACTAAAAGTTGCAAATCTTTTAACCCATAAGACAATGATGCTGTCTTATTGCAGATAAGTATTTTCCACAAAACTGATACTGAGCATAACTAATGCCAGAGCTATGCTGAGGAAAGGTACATATCTCAGGCAAATACTTCCCTTTGGAAGCAGGTCCCTTACTTAACCAATACAGCCTTCTTCCTCACCTGTGGGAGTGTGGGTTTTGGGTAGTTAGTGAAGTGTTCTTAAGCAATTCCCAATTATCGTTCATGCTTTTCTGTTTAAATTCTTCCTCCCAGCTGATTTGGCTCACAATTGTTTTCAGCTTTTTGAAACTGGCCCTTTTAAAAATATCCCATCTCCTAGAGCTGGAAGAGACCTTGAAAGGTCATCAAGTCCAGCCCCCTGCCTTCACTAGCAGGACCAAGTATTTATTTTGCCCCAGATCTCTAAGTGGCCCCCTCAAGGATTGAACTCACAACCGTGGGTGCTCAAACCACTGAGCTACTCCTCCCCCCTGGTCTGGACTTCATTATCAATGTGATCAAGTCGTGATCACTTGTACCTAAGTTACCAGTAAGTTTTAGTTCTGTGAGTAACTCCTGTTTATCTGTCATGATGAGGTCTAATATAGAATTGCCCTGGGTTGGATGCAACACTTGTTGAGTTAGGAAATTGTCATCTATAACAAAATTAGAAATTCCAAGAATGTTTTAGTCCTGGTAGCATGACCTCCATCATATATCACTCAAATTAAAGTTATTACATTATAGCTAGGTATATAAGGAGGGGTCATCCTATTCCCTAGTGTGATTTGATGGTCTGTAGCAGACACCAGCTAATACCCCATCTTGAGGTTTATCTGTTAGGACATTGGTTCATAAGCAGGCTAGATCATTTTCTTCTGAGCTGTCAGTGACTCAGAAACAGGTTTTTGCCAGAATACCTCTCCCGCTCTTCCCTTGCCCACTTTATCCTTCCTAACTAGGTTACAACCATGATTTTAACATTGCCAGTCATGTGAATCATCCCAACCAGGTGACACCAACCAGATCAAATTTATGCTCATAAAAGTGATTCCAGTTCCTCTTGTTTGTTACCCAGGCTCCTACCATGGGTACATAGGGACTTAAATAATTTCTTCTCTTTGTGTTCTGTGGTTCCTTGATTAATTTTGTTCTAAACATGTCAGTTTAGTGCTAATATCTGCTCTCTGTTCACCCTCCCCTTTTGTTGGTAGTTTAACACCCTCCTGACCACTCTAGCTGGCCTGTCCCCAAGAAGATTGGTTCAGGTAGTGGCTCCACACCCTCTTCCCACAGAAGGTGGATCAATGTTCCACAAAACCAAAACCCTCCACACTGTACGACTTACCTAGCCAGCACCTCACTTCTGGGATTTTCTTCCTTCTTTTGCTCATGGGACAGGAAGCGTTTCAGAGAAGATCACTTGAACATTCTTCTGATTAAAATTACATTTTCCAGCAAATAAATTACTTGTTCTAAAAATTTTGTCCCACTCTTGTCTGAGTGTCATCGGTGCAGTGATGGAGGGAGGGGTTATGAATTTGGGAGGCAATATAAGCTGGTAGTTAAAAGTGCCCCAGGTCAGTGCATAGGGCCAGCACAGAGCTGCCTGGCTTTGTGCAGCTCCATGTGACATTTTATGAAAATTACATCATGAGTTAATGTGTATATTTTCAAATAATTTGCATATAGCCATAAGTGTCAGCTTGTAAACAAGTGTTGCTTTAGCACTGGCGAATGGAGGCTCTTGTTCACCTGCCAGGAGGCATTGCCCCATTACCTGCCCTGGCAGCCTGCTCAGCCCTATTCTGGGGCGACACCTTCTACAGGTAGTTTAGTGTCCAGGGCCCAGGCAGATCTTGGCTTCTCTGCTGTCCAAGAAACCTTAATTCATCCCCCTTAATTCTCCACATTGGCCTTTGGTCACCAGGAAGCACAGCTGCAAGGGAAGTGTTGGTCGGCACTTACTGCCCTGGAAGAGCTGTGTGAGAATGGCATGTGCTCACTGGCGGTAGAATTGTAATAATAGCACCAGCCTCTAACAACCCCTACTGAGCATGTGTGAACTTGGCCAAATGGAGGTATATTTTTGTGAGGAAAGGCACATCCCTGACCTCAGAGCATCTGTGCCCCCCAGTCCACACACACACACTCCCTGCCCCCAAAGTTCAAATCCTGGGGCCAAAGCATAGAGCTATGAGAACGTCTCAATTAAATGGCTACATGAACTTTTTACTATCTGCAAAACAATTTATTTTCCCCAAACATCATTCTCAGAAATGGCCAAACTCTTCTAGTTGAACTTAAACCAAAAAACCCAGAAAGCAGCAGCCTGAGGCAGGCACCCATGTAAAGAACATTAAGATGCACTGCCAGGCACTCTGAATTACTGCTGTCTGTTCAATCTTCATTCAGCCCCCTTGTGTGTATGCATTTTAATACCGTCTTGAATTACAGATTCACATACTATTTTTCCCGCATGGGTGATCAGCAGGTCTTAAACGCAGGATTTACAGACCCGTCCCACTTGAGTTAAATGATCAGCTTGTAGCAGAAGTAGTCTGTTATCCTCTGTCTGGCCCAGCCTTTAGAGAGAACATGACTTTGCCAGGGAGACAGCTATGAAATGTCGGGTATCAGGATTTCTCAGCTGCTTCTTTTCACTTCCAAGGTGCTTCACGTCCAATCCCTACTCTATGTATCAGCGTCATTCACGATTGAACTGTTGATACTCAGCTATGATTCACCCATGATGCCAGCCTCCTTTGGCCTTTCATTTTTTCTCATTTTGAACCAAAATTGAATTTTTTTTGTTTGTTTTTTCTCACTGAAATGAAAAGGTGAACCATTTCAAGTTGGGGCAAATTAAACCTTTCAAATCCCCATTCAAACTAAAATGTTGACATGAACCACTTGGACATTTCAGAATTCTTCTCCCCGCTGCACTCCCTAGTTTTTTTGGCCAAATAGTTTCTGCACCCTGAAGAAAACACCAGCTCTATTCCTAGGTGCAATAGTAACACAAATGACTAACTAATAACATATATTCATAGCTGTGTGAGCAGAACTTAGTCTATTGGGTTGATGAGTGGTGATGCAAACCGCTGGCACAGCTGTTGAGAAAGGTGATTTATCTGAGCGCCTAAGCGAGGGCTATGTTGTATTAGAAATCTGGGTTCAATACGTAGTTCTTCCTGCAATGACTTTGTGTTACCTTATTGGTAAGATGAGAGAGTAATTGTTGCCTGTCTCTAGGGGCAGTGTGATAAGGCTTGCGTGAATCCAACAGAAATACTATCAGTTTTCAAGAGACGTGAGAGTAGACGCTGTGCTCAGTGCCCCTTTGCCCAAGGCAAAGAGAATTTTCTAGGGCTAGCTCCCCCCACACACGTCTCTTTGACATTCTACCTGAGCGGTGAGAGGCAGCAAATGCCCGACACTTAGCACCTCTGCCAGTTTAACTCCTATGAACCAATGAAGTGTCACTTAAGCTTTGAGCTGGACCTTGGGGAAAGGGGGAATTTCCCCCACCGTGAATATGACTATAGAGAGCTAATCTAGGGCCAGATTCTGCATTCAGCTAACTCACTGAAGCCGATGAATGTGCACAGGGTGAAGGCAGAGTAGGGCCCCACAAGAGTAAATATTATTAAAATATCTCAGTGTGTTTTGGGATGGCAAAGTCAGGAGTCCCAGCAATAGAGTGCTGGCTCTTCCTGTGCAGCCGGGGAGCCAAACCCCCATTCACGGAGAAAGGGTTAACAATCAAAGGCTGGGACTGGGGGCCAGATTCACAAAGGGACTTAGGTACTTAAATCCCAGAATCAGGTCCCACTGGACTTCACAAAACCACTGCTCAGCTGTCCCCAAACCCTGTAGGCACCTACAATTGTTTTTGCTGTAAAGTTTCCCTAGGCACCTCTGTGCATGGGTACGGCATGCCAGGCGTCCAGATGCCCATGACCCAGAGCGATATATGACCTGGGGGAAGATAGGCATTCCTCCGCCTAACTCACTTGCAGGGCCTGATCCAGTAGGCATGCTCAGAACTCACCTACTGGATCGGGCCCCATAGGCAAGCTTACACAAAACAGAGCAACTTGTCTCACATCTCTTAGCCCAGTGCTCAGGGTACTCACTTGGGATGTAGGAGATCTCTGGGTTACATAGTCCCTGAGATGATGTGGAAGAAGGGATTAAAACAGGGATTTGTGACTGTCAAGCTGTCTGGAGTGGCTCACAAATGTGGGTGACAGCCTCAGGATAGACTGCTACAAACCAGGGCACAAACGCCAAACTGGCTCTGTGTTCTATGATTAGATTTCACCAACCAAGTATCAAATGTGTACTCCTCAGGCACTATAACAACCTTAACACAGAGTCACAGACAGTCCCTTTGGGCACTGTGGACTATCTTGCCACTCAAGTGAGCCTGCCTTTATGATAGATGGTCCCTTACCTCCAAATTTACAACAATATTCAGGTTACTCCCAGTCGCAAAGGACCAGTCACTTACCCCAAGTCAAGTGCACACTAGATTTCTCACCAAAGATAACATTTGTAGCCAACCCGGTAATAAACTAACTAAAGGTTTATTAACTAGGAAAAAGCAATTAGAGAGTTATTTACAAGAAATTACAGTATTAGGTTTTGTCGGAGAAAAACACAGTTCTCACTCTTTGGTTGGGTACAGCAAAGTCAGATACTTTATTCTCTCAAGCAATTGCCTAAAGAGAGAGAGTGCCCTAGGACACAGGGTCTCCCCCTCCTAGGCAGGTCTCTCAACAGGTAAACATTTACAGCAAGCATTTATACCTTTGTTACAGACAATAATAAGCAACAGCTGCATTTTGTTTCTACATAGGTCCTTCTGATATTTTGTTTTTCTCACTTATTTTGACTCTAGTCTACATTCAATATTATCTACACATTATCTACACAAGGTCGCAACAACTTCTCACACAGTTCTTTCCCACTTGCCTCACACAATCCTCGCTTCTACAAATCTTGCATTATTAGGGTTACAGTTAGCCTGACTCTTGCTAACAAAGACTGTTTGCATTTGAAATTCCCTTCCAATTTCTGTCAGGCCTTGCTCTGCTTCCACAACCCACCGTTTTGTACTAGTAGTATAACAAACATTCTCAAATCTCTATTTGCATTAAGTCTTGGAATTCAGATTCTACCTCAGTTGCTTTAACCTTAGGGGTTTTGATTGGATGTACTGACAATGCATGAGTAGCATGGACATGAAAGGTGTTACTACTATGACGTCCTTTACAACAACATTAACATAATCCTAAGCTAACTAATAACAACACA